GTAATTAATATTTAGTTGATAAATTCTACCAAATCATCTGAGAAATTTAATCTGGTAGACTCTCTTTGACTTAAATTGTCTTATGGTCTTTATCCAATAAGAGAAAATCTTTAATCTTAAATTTCATTTTGCAAGTATTCTCTTAAATACAATTTTTATTAACACAAATTATGTTAATTATTAATGTTGTATCAATATAATAACTTTTTTGATATTATGTTAACACTAATATTATGTTATGTTAACACTAATATTATGTTATGTTAACACTAATATTATGTTATGTTAACACTAATATTATGTTATGTTAACACTAATATTATGTTATGTTAACACTAATATTATGTTATGTTAACACTAATATTATGTTATGTTAACACTAATATTATGTTATGTTAACACTAATATTATGTTATGTTAACACTAATATTATGTTATGTTAACACTAATATTTTAATAACAATAATATTAACACTTATATTCAAAAAAAAAGACTAATAAAGACTTTTATTACACTTTTGTGATTTACTTAAAAGTTTAAAAGTTTGAAAAATAGATTTTGAACAAGAAAATTTTCTTGTTCAAAATTGATTTTTCAAACTTTTAAATTCAAGATGAAATTCAAAGTTATCACTTGTGCAAAGCAATGTCCAAGATTTAAATCAAATATATCCTTATAAAAACTATTTAATAAGTTATCACTTGTGAAAAGCAAAGTCCAACATTTAAATTGAATATATCTTTATAAAAACTATTGATTAAGTATCACTTATGTTAAGCAAAATCCAACATTTAAATCAAATCCTTATAAAAACTATTTAGTAGTTTATGGAAGAAGGAAAGTAAATAATAATTCTGAGTGATTATTTGCAACAAACCTAAAGCTATAATTTATGTTGCTTGTATCTTTTACAATGCATAGTATCATAAATTTTAACATAAGTTTAGAAAAAGTGGTGACCTAAATAATGTATGGCAACACAAAAATGAAAATTATTTACTGGTCTCTGGTTAACACATCTTTTTTTTTTTTTTTAATAAATTTAAATCTTATAGTATCAATGTTAAAATAAGTTGTAAAACATCAATACAGCATCTAACTAACTAATTATTCTTTTTTGTGATATTTTGGTCTAATTTGTATAAACCATCATCAGGTGTAAAATACAATTTAAAAAACCGTTACAATATAAAATTTAAAAATCATAAAAAAGCCATTACAAAGATGACGTCAATAAAAATTGTTTTGTTTTTTTACGATTTTTTTAAATAGTGGTCTCCAACTATTTGAAGCAACTTTTACCCCGTTATCCTTGTTAAGCAATACTGGGAATTCTTTAACCTCCTGAGATGTTTGCGTATAGTTAATTTCAAACGATTCCTTTATTTTCCTTTCATGATAATTGTTATTTATTGATAAAGTTTTTAGGTGCAGCCAGTCGAATATCCCATGGCATTCTTTGCAATGCTCAGTAGTTCCAGAAGCATGCCAATTGCCTTTCATGCTATTAATTTGGTGCTCTATGCTTCTTTGCAAAATTCTCTTTTTTGTTTCCTCAATATAAATTCCACCACACGAACATGTAAGTTTGTACACCCCAGGGTTGCTGTTTGGCATTAAACTAGATTTGTTGTTACAGAGAATTGTTTTTAAATTAGGTGGTGTTGTAAAAATAACTTTGTCATTATATGTTTTAAGTACTTTTTGTAGTTTTGGTTCAAGTGTTGGTAGCCAAGGTAGCTTTATTATCGCAACACTAATTCCTAGTTTTTTTGCAACTTTACTGTTGGATTTTGTTTTTACTTGAAAGGTAATTCGCCGCAATCGTTTCTAGATTTGATCGCTTATGACTGTTTTCAACAAACATATCTATTATAAACTGAATCTTGTTGTTAATGTATTTTTCGGAGCAGATTTTGGTGGCTCATGATATGAAACCTTTAAAAACTCCAGTAATAATTTCAGGGTTGATATTAGAGTTGGGTTTTATTTGTATGTTTGTTATTGCTTTTTTATGGTAGACTTTGAAATCATTATGGTAATTATTTGTGTAGTTATTTTTATATCTAAAAAATTTTGTTCTCTCTGATTATTTTCAATCTCTGACGTGTACTGAATATTGGAGTCTTGTTAATTTAATAAAATAAGAAATTTGTTATGCTTTTCAACTGATTCAAATCTGGCATGGCTATCATTACTTTGATGTTTTACAACTTCTTTTAACTTTACGTACAACAAGAAAAATTGCTAAAACACTTAATTACTACTTCTTACAGCAAGGAGGTTTGTGATACAACAAAAAAAAAGGGTTGGTGTGTCAGGGGCCCCCTGTGATAGCCGCAGCAGATAGCCGCATTTTTTGCTCTTGGGGGGGGGGGGGGCGGGTTGGTGCGGAGCGGGGTTCCCTGTGATAGCCGCAGCAGGGGGTGCACCAGTGCTGCGCCAGGGTCTGGGGGGTACGGGTGATCCTCTTTTAGAAGAGAAGAAAACCGAAAGTTTTTTTTAATTCCCTTTTTTTTTTAATGGATTGAATGGTTTATAAAAGGTAATTCATTAAAAGTATGATGATTAGGTGGACAATTTAATGATCATTCTAAAGTATTTGTTTTTCTACATTTAAATTATTTCAAGAAATAAATTTTTCTTCTGAATAGAAAGCATCAAAAATTACATAAATGAATCCCACCACTCCTATTATAGAAATAATAGAACCTAGAGAGCTAATAGCATTTCAAGTAAATAAGCTGGAAAATCTGCATATCTTCTAGGCATTTCTGCTAATCCTAAGAAAATTTTAACTTTAAAAAATTAGTTTATATTTATTAAGATACAAAAAATAAAAAAAATACATGTAATTAAAATATAAGAAAATAGAGTTTAAATAAATTTTACTGGATTTGTTGGAAATTATGCCTATAGTTTTGTTAAAATAAAATGGTCCAGGCTTTCTAAAAGTTGATTATCTACGAATTTATAAGTAATTTTATATCCTAAAGGGCTTATTTTTTTAGAGAGAATATAATTAATTAATATGTCAAAATATCAATTATTAATTAAAAATGAATAAATATTTTTATAATAATTTATAAAGATAACATTTCAAGTTTTATTTAAATTACTAAATACTATTATAGCTGTAATAACTCCTAGCATACTAAGAAAAAAGGGTAATAATTTACTAATATTGTAAACCGTATTAGGAAATTTATCTTTTATAATTATAAATTGAAACATATATCCAGAAAAAATAGAAAATAATGTTAATAAGCTTAATGAAATGATAATTTTATAATCGCTTTCATGTATATTGTTAAAATTATTTATATCTTGTTGTGGATTATTAATAAAAGTATAATAAATTAGTCTTAAAGAATAAAAAGCTGTAATAGACACAGCACTAATACTAATTCAAACGGAAAAGGATAAAAAATTTGAAAACTTCAACAATTAAATCTTTAGAATAAAATCTTGATAAAAATCCTAATAATGCTATGGATCCTATAATTATAAAATGAATGTTATCTTGTATATCGTTTATAGCATGAATTATAGATCCTGCACTAAGAAATAGTAATGCTTTAAAAAATCCATGGTTTATTAAATGAAATAAACTTAAATCATAAAAAGAAAATCCACAAATCATAATCATGTAACCTAATTGACTACAGGTAGAATATGCTATTTCTTTTTTTAAATCGTTTTGAAGCATTCCTATAGTTGCTGAAAAAAAAGAAGTTAAACTTTCTATGATAATTATTAGAATTAGTATAGTAGATGAAAGTTCAAATATAGGCGACATTCTAATAATTAAAAATACCCCAGCTGTAACCATTGTAGCTGCATGAATCAATGCTGAAACTGGAGTAGGCCCTTCCATTGCATTGGGTAATCACATATGGAAGCCTAATTGAGCAGATTTTCCTATTACGCCTACTAATACAAAAAATAATGGAATATAAAGTATATAAAAATTATTAGTTATGGAAATTATAAATATATTATTGAATTTAAAAGATCCAGTAAATATTCATAAATATATTATTCCGATTAACAATCCTATATCTCCTAACTTATTTATAATCATTGCTTTTATTGCTGATTTATTAGCTTGAATTCTAGTATATCAAAAATTAATTAGTAAATATGAACATAATCCTACTCTTTCTCATCCTATAAAAAGTTGAATTAAGTTTGAACTTGATATTAATATTATCATAAAAAAAGTAAATAAAGATTAATAAGATATAAATCTTGGTAAATGAGGATCATTTTCCATATAGGAGTAAGAAAATAAATGAACAAAAAATGAAACAGTGATTACTAAAACTAACATATTTTTAGTAATCAAATCAAATTTTAAGTTAAATGAGTTACTTAATAAATCAATCTAATAAGATATAGTATAGAAAATTATTATTAAAATTAATTTCATAAAAAATAATTCAGGAATTTATAAGTGTAATCATAATAAGAATAAAGGAAATTAATTTAACGCCTTTATTACCAAAAAATCTACCAAAAAATCCACATAACAAACTACTAAATAAAGGTAAAAAAATTATAGTTAAAATCGTATTATAAATTTAATAAATAAGTTATAGAAAAAATAAAAAATTTGGGATTTAATAAATAAAATAATGTATAATATGATATAAAGCCTAAATAAATAAAATTTAAATATAAATTATTTTTGTTTAAAGAAATAATATTATTTCGAGAAATATAAAAATTATTATTTTGGAATAAAAGTATTTTTATTATTCTTAAATAAAAACCTATTCCTATATAGGTAATTAATAAACATAAACAACAATTACAATATAATTATAATTTATTAAGGTTGAGATAAGAATGAATTTGCTTAAAAATCCTAAAAGTGGAGGAATTCCTGCTATAGAAAAAGTTATGATAACTTAAGCAATTGTTAAAATTTTATTATTCATTAAGTAACCACTTAATTCTATGATAAATTCCATATCATTTTTATATAATATTAATA